CCCCCCCTTCTCCTCCTCACGCCCACGATGCATATGCCGCCGCCCCCGCGCTTCTGCTCCCATTCAATGTATCCATTGGTCGTGAATAAGATTGAGCCGGTCATTGAGATTTCCATATTCTCTTATCCGCTCACCAGTGCGAGTCAGAGTGATGGTGCGAGCAGTGCCTTGGCACCGATTCGTGTGTCGAGGCCATCACTCGCTGCGCATAAATTCGCCTTGGAATGTTTATACCACGCGAGCACGAGTCAGACCAGAATCACACAGCATGCATGCACAGCGCAGCCACATGCCCTGCTCCTCAGCCCGGTCCGACCGAAACAGGACTGGGCGTCGGCGGTCGAGGCGGGCGCCTCGGTTGCTGGCTGCCGGCTGCCAGCCAAGGTGACTCGGGCCTGCAAGCCATATTGGCGCGCCCTGCTTCGGCGCAGAGCTTGGCCAGGAAAGGACCCGGCCGCCTCGGCGTCTGGCGGTGCAGCCGCGGCCAGGGTCGGCGCTGTCGCCTCGGCGCGCAAGGCAGGGCGGAGGACGCGGCGTTTATCAGCGATATCGCGCCAGCACTCACATCGCGAGGCCCTAAGGGTATGCGTAATAAAGTGGGGGGCTCCGCCCCCCCCCCCTTCAACACACATATCACACCAGCAAAGGCAGTCGGGATGGGATGACAAAAGGGAGTATCAGTGGTTCGTGGGAGGGGGAAGGAGGGAAGAGGTGGTGCGATCTCGCTTTCTATTTCTAGGCGGCCTGCGGGGTTTGGGCCGCCTGGGCACGGCGACGCTCGTCGTGCTCTTGAATAAGTTTAAGGATGTCGCGGTCGCTGGGCAGCAGCAGGCGGCGAACGCGGTCGAGATCCCAGTGGATGCCGCGGCATCGGTTGAGCAGCACATTGATGCTGGCAACGTCGCGCACCCACACGGCCTGGTCGAGCGTCTCCTGCGTGAGGGGCGCGCCGTGGCGCACGTTCAGCCAAATGGACAGCGGGTACCCCTTGGCCGACGAGCGCTGCGCGGCCTCGACCATGAACGTGACCAGGTGCGGCGCGCGTGCAATGGCCAGATTCAGCGCGCTGAGCGAGTTCTCGCGCACGGCGGCCGCCGCGTCCGTCGGCGCGATGGCCAGGCCAAAGCCCAGCAGCCACTCGATCATGGCCACGTCGTCGCGCTCAAAGGCGTCCGTCAGGTGGGCCTGGTGCACCGTGACGCTGTACGTGGCGTGGACGTGCTTGACGTCATCGAACGTGCCTCGGCGCACCGTGTCGTCAAACGCCCGCTGCATGTCAACGAGCTTGCCGTGCGAATGCAGAAAGTCGATGGTGCGCGGGCAGCTGATGCCGTAGACCTGCAGCTCCTCGGGCTCGAGCTGGGCAAACAGGCCCGGATAACGCTTGTGCAGGTAGACGAGCACCTCAAAGTGGCGGAAGCTCGCGGCGCCGACAAACGCCTGCTTGGTGCATCCCTCGGTCCGGTGCTCGGCGAGCCAGCGCACCACGGCCAGATGCCCGTTGGTCGCGGCCGCGTCCATGACCTCGGGCCCGCACTCGTCCGTGCGGTGCTTGACCAGCCATACGACGGCGTCGAGATGCCCGTGCTCGGCAGCCCGCTCGACAATGTCGGACCCCCACCTGCCACTCGCGTTCATCGAGTGCGTCACGGCCGGCGACGACCACAGCGTCTGGGCAAACTTGAACAGATACGAGGCGACCGTGTCCGGCATGCACTCGTGCAGGAACTCGAGCACGGCGACCTGCCCGCCCGTCGCCGCATGGTCCACGAGGTCGATCGACGGCTCGACGAGCCCGCGCACCTCGACGAGGTCGCGCAACACCGACACGGCGCCGTGCTCCGCGGCCGCCTGTGCGACCCAGTCGAGGTTGTCGTCGGACACAAGGTCGACCCAGCCCCGCCGGAGGGCCACGCAGTTGAGCATGTGCCCCGTCGTGAGGCGGAAAAAGACGTCGGCCTCGGTGCGGCGGTCGGGCAGCAGCCGCGGCCGCAGCGTCGCGAGCACGGTGGGGCTGGAAACATGCCGCAGCGCCGTCTCGAGGCTGGGCTCGCCGGGCACAGACCGGAGGTCGCCCATCCACCCGGTGCTGAACACCTCGGCCCACAGCTCCTGCGCGCGGTCGCCGCGCATGTACTCGACCCGCAGTGCTTGCCCGGCCTCGAGCGCCGTCAGCCGCGAGCACCGCAGCCCGAGCACCGCTTCCTGGATCTCGCCGGGGAGCCGGTCCCAGTGCGACGTGCCCGCCCGGATGCGCGTGTCCATTCAGCGGACTAAGTGCGGGTCTCGCCTGCGGCGCGCCAATGCCGTCTCCTGAGGCCCGCGCGGCGGCTGCTCTCTCCAACCCACATGCCGCGGCGACCGCTGGCCCCGTGCGCTCTCGCCAGATCGTCGTCGCTGCCCTCCGCCGCAGCACCAATCTCGCGCGCGGTGCTGATCTGAGCATGACGACATGCGGACATCCAAGCCGAAGCTCCGACGGTTTGCATGAGAGCCCGTACCACGCATCCGGCCACCTTCCGCTCCGTCCGCCCGCCACCAAGCGCCGTCGGCCGCAGCGGCGCGGGCACCGCCCTGTGCCGCACGAGCGCCGCCGGCACTTCAAAACCCAGCTGCTGCGGCCTGCGCCGATCCGGGCCAACTCCGTCGTTGTCGCAACCATGCCATCGCTCGCCAAGGCTCTCGTCGCCGGCGCCGCGATGCTGCCGCTTGTCTTTGCCTACGGCAACTGCCTCGCCGACGTCATCGTCGCCGATGGCCACAGGAGCCACCTGTACGCGCGCGAGGGCGCCGGTGCGCAGGACTGGGGCTACGAGGCCGAGGTCGGGTCGGCCTTTTGGGCCGCGCTCGATCCGGCCTACGTCATGTGCGCCAGGGGCAAGCACCAGTCGCCCATCAACTTCCACGACGTCGCGATGCTCAACGCGCAGCCGCTCCAGTTCGACTGGGAAACCTGGGCCGAGAACGTGTCGTTTGTCAACAACGGCCACACGATCCAGGCCAACATCCCCGCCGACGCCGGGTTCTCGCTGTCACCGCCTGACGCTAGCGGCAGCGGCGCCAAGTACACGCTTGCGCAGTTCCACCTGCACTCGCCGTCCGAGCACCACCACGAGGAGCGCGCCTTTGCCCTCGAGGCCCACTTTGTTCACACAACGCCAGACAAGAAGATCGCGGTGCTCGGCGTCTGGTTCGAGCTGTGCGAAACGGGCTCGTCGATGCTCGACAGCCTGCTCGCCCACGGCGCGCCAAAAGGCAAAGGCACCAGCAAGTCTCTTTCGTCCCTGGACTTGTCCGAGGTGCACTCGGCCATCACGGCTCATGGCGCCAAGTTCTGGAGCTACGCGGGCAGCCTCACGACCCCGCCGTGCAGCGAGAGCGTCAAGTGGTCCGTGCTCGCCAAGCCGCTGCCCATCTCCATCTCCCAGCTGCGCGAGATTCATGAAGCCATGCCCTTCAACGCCCGCATGACTGCGCCGCAAGGATCGGTCAACTCGCCCACACTCGTCGAGGACAAGGGCAGCGAAAGCGAGTCGCACGGCCATGCCGCCTCTGTGGAGCGCAGTGCAGATTCAGTCGGCGTGAAACCAAACACGGACGCATCACATGAAAAGAACCCAAGCATCCTGACTTCGACCTGCATCGCCATGGAGCCAAATGCAGCCTTGGCAATAGTTCTCTCCGCGATCGTCTTGTTTTTCATGTGAATGAATATCTTGGAGAAAATTCCAGTCGCAGCAGCATTTTGATGAGCCCCCATGCATCGCGGCGTCCACTTGAATGTGCCGACATGCCCGGGCGACTCTGCCACAGCAGCAGCACGCGTTCGATCAGAAATGAGCGCTCCGATCAGCCTGTGCGCTGCGCGTTCGTCCAATTGGGCCGCGGCGGTGCATCGGTGGGCATTTGGCTGCGGATCACAAACCCAAGCTGCAGTGCAGCGAGTCGGTTTCTGCTGCACTGCAAGTGCGGCGCGAGAGCAGGCGAGTGGAACTCGTGTCTTTCAACAGCGTCGCAAAGCATGTCTTTCATCTGCGCAGCGCAATGCCAACGCATGCGGCAACGTTTGATACAGCGACCCAAAGCACATTCATACCCGGCTGCTTGCTGGTGAAGCAAGACACTGGTTTTGGAAGACTTGGCAGTCTTTCAAGCAGGCACGAGTGCCAGCTGCGGTACAGTGAGTCGCACTGCGCTGGGTCGGCCGACGCGCGGTCGGGATCGTGGGAATCCGGCGAATGTTTCGCGACGCATGGTGCAGGTGTGGGCTTTGCATCGGAACAGAGCAGTGCACGGGCGGCATCAGTCACATTGGCGCGTTCAAAACGGCAGAAATCTCAGCGAAACATAAGTGATATTTGTATGCGCTTCTGAAACGACATAGCTCAAAGAGGGTTGGCGGTGTTCGCGGCTGCTCGTCGCAGCGATCCCTGGCGAGAGGCACCAATCAGGCAGCAGGATTCAAGTTGGCAGTATTTTTCGTAATCGATGGATGGTTCGCTGGTGTAGTTGGTTATCACGTACCCTTCACACGGGTAAGGTCTCCGGTTCGATCCCGGAGCGAACCATTTTCGCGGCACAGACCCGCGCATCCAGGCGTATCGCGACACGATTGGCTTCTCTCGCGAGTTCTTTGTTCTTCTTTGGCAACACGCACA